CCCCCCCCCCCCCCAATAGCTAGGATAAAGAAAACATTCTTGAGTCACCGTAGGCAAAGTTGGACGGCATCGGTGATCCGTCCTGTGGGAACAATGCTCCGTCCTCTCCAGGACGCGCGGTCAATGGCGTAACCAAACATGAGTGCGCCCCCCCCCCCCAATCCCTTTTTCTTTATATTTGTGGGTATGATATGCCGCTCGAGAGCGATGGCCTTTAGAGGACCCGTGGTCAATTATTTAACAACAAAGGTATACCGCTCACCCTCCCTTTCCCTATTTTTCTGTAGATGCGTATGCCGTTTGAGAGCGAGGGAGCGAGGGCCCTAAACCGCGACATCTTCGAGACGATGTATTTCGCCGCTATGACGGCGTCGTGCGAGCTTGCGGAGAAGGAAGGGCCGTACGAAACGTTCGAGGGCAGCCCGGTCTCCAAGGGAATTTTCCAGTTCGACATGTGGGGAGAGGTAGGTTGTTGTCGATGGAGGGGAGTGATGGTTCCTCTGCTGCCGCTGCCGATGTTCTTGTGTTTGTTGTAGATGGAGGGGGGGGGGGGTTCTTGAGCTGCTGCTGTTGCTGCCGCGGTGTTTATTTTGTTGTTTGTCGATGCGGGGGGAGGTGGCGATGGCTCCTCAGCTGCTGCCGGAGCAGTGGGCTTATTGTCGTCGTAGTCGTCATCGTCCTTGTTTTTGTCAATGTCAATGACGCGTCCTTGATCTGCCCGGAGGTATGGGCACATGTGTGTAGTGTGTAGCCAGCACCAACAGGTGCCACAACAAACATCATACGTTTCCTGGTCAAGCTCCTCATGACGAAAGCGACACCCCACTGTTGTTTTATTTTTTGTCTTTGCTTCAAATCAGCGCTCACATATTTTTATTTTATTTTTGTTGTTTTTTTTCTCCCATCATTGGATTCTGTCGTCTGCCCCTCTGGCCCCTATTCTCCACGTCTACTTGCTAGACGACCCAACCGGGGTTACACAGGAGAGGGGGGTTGGACCCCCTCCATCGGTTCCTGCCGAGATATATTTATCGCGAGAAGGGTACAGCAATCCGTTCCCTCGCGACTTTTGAAGTCGATCAAGTTTACTAACAACGCGCTTTGCAGCGCATCGCTTCCAACGGCGACCAGGATTAAAGTAGTGAGAAAAACTCACTCTGTCAAGACTCGAAGCTACGACCCTGGCCCTTAGCAGGCTGCGAGGTTACCTACTAGACCACCGGGGCGACCGGTCTGCATGTACACCATCGAAAATCAACTTCGCCTCTACACCTCCTGTGCTTGCACCAGTCTTCCGGCTGTTGGGGACCTAAGACGTAACAGTGCCACTATTGTCTAACCTGGTCATGGTTGCGGTCGTCGTTTGCAGACTCTTGTCAGACGGATGGAATCGGGCGACCTTTTTTTTCTTCCATCTTTTTACTCCGTTACTGCTGTTCCACGCTGCTCACTTGAAATTGCCTGAGCATACACCGTGAACGTTGTTCGGAGTATCTAGATAGCTCGTGGCCAGTCCGTGTCTTATGCGTTCAAGGCCGGTGTGGAACACGGGGATTCCGGATAGCGGCCAGAACGGGTCTCAACGCGGGAAAAGCGACAGGAACAGTAACAACAACAACGGCGACATGTTCAAATCCGATCCGTTCGTTTTTTGTTTTGTTTTCCTGGCCCTTTCTCTGCTGCTCCTTGTTCTTTTGTTATTCCCGGTGTTGTTATTATTGGTGGTGGTGGTTTGGTTTACATCCGTGCAGACCCCATCCGACAGGTGGGACTGGACTAGCTTGCGGACACGCGTGGTTAAGCACGGCGTGAGGAATTCGCTGCTCCTCGCACCGATGCCCACGGCATCGACGGCACAGATCCTAGGGTGAGCCCACCCGAGCGTCCCTTTCTTTTGTGCTTGTTGTCTCCTTTCTGTTGATCTCGTCCCTTGCTTGCTAGTCCCGTCTCTCGCTCTCTTGCTAGTCCCTTCTCCCGCTCTCTTGCTGGTCTCGTCCCCTTCTTTTGCTAGTCCCGTCTCCTTCCTATCGATCTCGTCTCGTGCTACTCCCGCCTCCTACCCTCTTGCTGACGTCGCCTCTCCTACCTATGCATGACGGCGCAGGTTTAACGAGTGCATCGAGCCGTACACAAGTAACCTCTACGCGCGCCGGGTCAAGGCCGGCGAGTTTATCGTGGTCAACCCGCACCTCTTCACCGACCTGATGGAGATGGGTCTATGGAGCCCCTCTGTGAGGAATCAGTTGATGGCGAGCGGGGGCAGCATCGCCTCCATCGCGGGGTGAGCTTCTACTTTCGGAAATAAATCATTAGGAAGCAATCAAATTAAACAGCAATAGACGGTTTCGGAAGTATTTTCGAAAGAACTCACTTTCACTTTTTGGAGCACCGTTCCTGGGACCAGTCCCGTTGTTGCCGAAGGTTTTACTTTTAACGATGTGATGTCACGATGTCACCATCATGAGGGAATCTGATCAGCACGGCCCGCGATCAACTCACCATATCTCCCAAACAGATGCTTGCATTCGGGTGAAACCTTCGATGCTGCATGCTCCGTAGCTCTGAGGTACCTTGCCACCAACCGAGATGGGTCTGAGTGGAGCGTTGTGAGCGTCTTGTGAGAGAGGACTCTGCGTTTTTGAGCTGGAATGCACATGCAGGCACCCAGACAGGGTGTGCACACGCAGCAATAGACGCACGCAGCACACACCCAAACGCTCGTCGCTCTCTCGCAACGCATCCCGCCAATCTTCGAGTCAGAGCCAACAAGATGCCCTAGGATTTGTTGTGGATGATGCTGCACTACATCGTGTGGTAGGTGTCTGGCCGCTGCTGCTGTGGGCGGGTGTGTCTGTGTGTGTTCGAAACAATAAGAGCGAGCTGTGGCCCGACATCAATTTGACACATCTGAACCTTCGTCAGCGCCGAGGCAGGAGTCCTCCCACTGCTGGCAGTAAGCTCTACGACCGACCGCGGGCATGCGTTGATCGGGGTAGGTGTGCAGCAGCACCCATCCTGGCGTGGTATTGACCAAAGCGACTAAAAGCTAAAAGATGAAAAAACGTGAAAATATTCAGCTTTAAGAGACGCCAGCCGCCCTTCGTGCTAAAAATATCTTCCTGAAAGTTCATTTTTATGGCGGCCATAAACTGGCTCTTATCCCTGAAAAGTGAAGGTGAACTTTTCAAAACGTGCATCCGAAACTCGCCAATACCCGTTCGAGATACTCCATAACCACAGTCCAAGGAGAGGTTTTTGTTTTGTTTAAGGCACAGGGCCTGGTAGGCACAGGCAGAGCGAAGGTGGGACACCAACACAACGAAAGTTCCTTGCTAACCCTCTCCCGGCGGCTGATGCGTCAGATACATACACCGACAGTCGTATATGCTAGAGTAGGTGGGACGAACGCTCAAGCAAGGCCTGGAAAATGGCAGAGTCTGGAGAGAAAGTGGACCCGGTTGGAGTCCTTTGCGTAGAAAACGGCAGGGCGATAACAGAGACCAAACGCGCTTTTTCATCAATGTTTGCCATCGGGATTGGGTTTCGTCGCTTGGCAACGACGTCCTGAAACAAGCCAATTCGTGAGCTCGGCAACCAGGTTACCGTTTTCTTTTTTGCCTTTGTTTTTTTTTGGCGGTAACCATAATGGTGGTCCAGTAGATCATGTTGTGCGGGGTGGAGAACCCTCACTCCGCGCAACGGGGATGATCGCAACACCTTGTGTTACAATGGTCAAGCACCCTCGAGGCAGTTACACAGTGCTTACAACTGTCTCAGGAAGTGAAAGCACCAGAAAATAAATGAAGTCATACGCAGCTGTCATCCGTACGCAAGGAAGTAAGCACAAGATGCCGAACACCCTTAGCAGGATGCAG